TGCAAGCAGCATCCCCCAAATGTGGAACTCTCCTGAATAAAGCTCTGGTGTCCAAATTTTCAAAAAATGTTAAAAGTCAATTGGAGTAAAGAAGAGAGACATGAGTATTATTTTGAAGCTGAAGAAAATTATTCAGAGGTAGAAATGTAAAGGGCCAAAGCTGTTTATTTTTGTTGAAAAAGACCAAGATTGTACTCAACAGGAAGGAACTATCTGTTACGAAATGGCTATCAGGAAAACGTACAGAAATGGGTGACCAGAACCAGAAGCCAATTAAATTTAGAAAGATTTTTTTTTTTTTCCCCTGTAAGAACCAACCATGCAAATAAAGTACCAGGAGGAATGGTAGAATTACACTTGGTGTTGTATAGAAATCAGCTAGATCTAGGTGTTTAAATCAAATTTGGATCTCTCTCTGATATACAAGTTTAGGTTTACACAACTCCACACATGTACTGAATGCCCTGTAACAAAATAGGAGCTTGAAAGGGGATGATATAATATTGCTGTCTGGTTGCAATTCAGTCAGTGTAAGTGAGTGTCTGTAAACAGGGATATATACTTCTCACTTGAAAGCAGTAGCTGCCAGAAATGTACTTTTCTTTGTTTGTCTGTAGGAAACAGGAGGTTTCCATTGCTGAATTCTGCTTTTTTAAATTCTTCTGAATCAATTTCATTATTTTCTTTCAACAACTTTAAAGAAAGCAGGTCAATTTCAGTAGCTCACATTGGTTTTGTTTATCTTAACATGTCAGTGAAACACACTGCTCTCTGTGGGTAGAACAGTCAAAATCCATGGTTACTAGTAAAATGGACAATACTTTTAGGATTATTATTTCAGCTGAGGTTGAAAAGATGCACCTTTGACCCCAAAATTAAAGCATTCCCTACAGATATGTATTGTGCTTTCTTTTTTTTTTTAAAAAAAATTGTTTTCCACCAAAAGCAGTAGCAGGCACGCTGACAGGTAAGAGAATTTCTCAGGGTCTTCGGTTTGGCTTTGGTTGGGGGTGTTTCTTTGTGGTTTTGGTGTGGGGTTTCCCACCCCCCCCCAAGCCTAAGTCCCACAGCTGAATGCCCTAATGCCTTCCTAGGCAGCATTATAAACAGAAAATCAAGGCATGTAGATTCCCATTAACACTGCCAAGTTCTACAAACCATACAAAATATTGGTTAATTATTCATTCTCACATTTGCTTTTCTGTTTTTTATGGCCATAGCTGTCCCATCACTACGCTGCATTTGCCACTGCGGTTACAGCAACCTTTGTTGCATTAAGCGCTCCACAGCCACCACACCACTTACATTCTGAAAAGCATCACACTTGGGGGACTCCAGCAGTCACTTACGAGTAACGGCTATCACTGTTTTATTTATTTGAATCAGTACATACCTGGGAAACGCCCGCTAGCCAGTAGATTAGGAGCTATTTATTAATCTGGCTTTGACCACTAGCCAGTTCCTGGCTGCTTCCCTGAGAGGGGCCTGAATTCCTCCCCCGAAGCTACTTCTGTGCAAAGGGCAGGAAGGCAATTTGAAGATTTCCCACCAGACACCCATGATATCCGCCTCGGCGTTGCTGTTACAAAGAACCAGACGCGGGCAGTGCCTTCTCCGTGCTGACCTGGCTTCCCCCAAGGCGGACGCAATGTTTACCGGCAACTTGCGGGTGCGCGGAGAAGGGGAAGTCTACGTGCCGACGGCGGGTACCTGTTTCAAAACTGCTACTTGAGCCTTTACGGACCGGCAAACGGACTGCGACACGCTGGTGTAAAAACACGACCCGTCCTCCGACGGCGTCTGTGCCAAGATAAAGGGAGTCGCAAAAACCTTCCTCCGTACCCTCAGATTTGCATGATTTGCTTTCCCCACCGAGGGAGGGAAGTGCCGCGGAATAAGTGCAGACGCAGGCAGATATCTTGGGAAAGAGCC